TGTCCCGTATTTGATTTCAACCATACATATACAATTGTTTTATTGACAATTATAATATAATCAATCTTGATTATATTATCTTGCATTTGTAAACTTAAAATTGACTATTTAAATACGCAAATTTAACATTTAATTATCTATGCATAAACAATTCCAATATAATCTTGCATTGATATACTTTAAAGTACTTATTTAAAAAAAAAAAAAATATTGGGCATTATCCAAATCGCGCAATGCGCGTAAAAAGCTAGTATATAATATAAAATTTAACATAAACTTCGTTCAAATAATTAGTCCGGCTAAATACATATCATTCAAAGTTAATCATCAAATATTATAAATCATTTGATTTTTATGTAAAAAACAAATTTAGGTTATGTTTTTTTTTTTTTTTCGTTTAATTAATCTTCTTTTGATTATTTAGATAAGAACAAAACTTAATATTTCAATTATACTTTTGCATTATTGGTATGATTTAAGTCGTTATGGTATTAATATTTTTCGTATTTATTTTTATAATGGTACAATTGTACATTAATTTACAAATATTATACTATTATTTTTTTTATTGAACAAAAATGTTCTTACATCATTGTCAGGTCTGCGCGATCTAACTACAAAGTTGTTGATCATAAATACAATTACACCTGGACTCTAAAATGGTAGGACCATTTTCTAACAAATTAACAATGTTGATATCCCCCTAGCTCCAATTGAACAAGTTTACACATCATAGTTTTATCAATGCATGAAAACTTCTAAAGAAAGTTGTAAGTTAATTTTTACTATATCATTATAACAATATCCACTGTAACTATATATTTTGAATTATTTATTATCATCCTCTATTGATAGGAATTGTAATAATTGTCATTGACAAACTCTCAAAACAATTTGTCTCAACAACGAATGTAAATTAAAAAAAATACAATGATTTCATTATTGTTGATGAAAAATAGGTATGCCACTTTATTACTCTTATTAGATTAAATAAAGTAGTAGCTACAACAAAAAATAATACATATGCATTTAATTAATTTAGAATTAGATGTCTGTAATGCCTTTATTTAAAAAAATTATTCATTATAAAAAGTTTAAATAGAGGTATAATTTCATTAGTTATAGAGTGAATTCCATTTTTGGCCCTACTGTTATAGGGGCGTTTTCAATTTTAGTCCACCTTAATATTTTTTGCCACTTTATAACCACTATTATTCAATGTGTTTCACTTTTAGTCCCACTGTTAGTATTTCCATCAAAAGGCCGTGTAATCTAGGGGTATTTTGACCTTTCTTCTCATCCAAGACTATGTTTGACTAAAGAAATGAGAACATTAAACCTAAAACCTAAGAAACCTCGTTGGCCCATGTTGGAACGAACGAAACGATGTAGCTTTGGCTTCCCATTCTCGTTGTTCGAAGAGCCATCTTCGAATATCGGAGGAGGAGGACGAAACACCTGGATTAAAAGAGAAGAGACATACATAAAAAGACCAAAATACCCTTTGATTATACGGCCTCTTGACGGAAATATTAACGGTGGAATAAAAGTGAAACAAATTTAATAACAGTGGTTGTAAAGTGGCAAAAAAAATTAAAGTGGACTGAAATTGGAAACGCCCCTATAACAGTAAGACCAAAAATGGAATTCACTCTCAGTTATATTATCTTTATTTTCTACAATTCAAAGAGTCATTACCTTCAAATTTATTCATTTATTATATTCACTACATTGTCCATTGTTTTTTTTTTTTTTTTTTTTTTTTTTTTTTTTTTTTTTTTTACATTATCTTATAATTAAATATCAAAGTTATAATACAAAATATGTTATATATATTTAATTTATTACCAAGTATTTTATACAAATATAATAAATTTTAATATTTTGTTCAATACTTTCACATGATAACCTACGACACACATTTCACAACGCATGAAACATGTAGGGAAAAAACTACCATGACCAAATATCAGTAGGTGCTTGTAAGATAAAGTGTTAATAGTACAACTAAGATCCCGTCATATACACAACAAGGCAAATCTAAAGTTTCCTACACCATAATCTCATTGCACGATGAATCCATCTATGCTACCACCAGTAACCCAATTGCACATGACATACTATCAATAATAAAAAAAAAAAAAAAGAAGAAGACATGTGCTGAAGATGTGAAGATGAAGATAATGGCAATGCTACCCAAAAGAGAATTAAGAAGAATTAGAGAAATTTAAACCAAAAATAGTACGGAGTATTTGTTTAGAATATCGTTTTTAGACTAAGTATTTAGATTAACATTATTACAAAGTTGCAAACATTTATTTTAGTGACACTAAAATCAATCTCTCATATATTATCTTACATTTATATACTTTAAATTATCGATTTAAATAAACAAATTCAATACAGAGTATTTATTCCTATGTATAAACATCTCCGATATAATATTGCATTGATATACTTTAAAATACTTATTTAAAAATAATCATTGAACATTATTTCATTCGCGCAAAGCGCGTAAAAGAACTAGTATTTATAATATATGTTTAACAATTATGCCAAACTCTAATTGGGTTGTGGTTTGAACCTATGACTATTTTTATAAAAAAATTATTAAAAAATATTAAAATCAAATAATATGAACCATTCATTTTAAGAAACAATTAATATTAATATTTTTTTTAGTTCCAGTTAAGAGTCTAACATTAGCTCTTATTAGGTTGGTAGATTTTTAGAAAACAAAAACACAAACAAACAAAAAACAAAAGTTTGTACTCACAAGTCACAATTAACGTAGAGTGCGGAAGATGCGCAGGGCGAAGTTATTTGAACGGCGACTTCATTTTTCATATTTGAACGGCGACGGGGGAGTTAAAGAGCCTTTGATTGGTGTTTGTTTGCGAGGATGATAAACCCAGCGGAGAGTAATAGTATGATGGAGTCGTCGTCTACATCTGGGAACAACGCTCAATCGCCTGGTCTGAAGACGCATTTCAAGACCCCTGAGGGGAGATACAACTATACAAGCTCCAGTATGAGAAAACTTATCCTACTGGCTATACCAATATGGCGAAGACCTTTGCTCAGGTTCTCCGTTGAATTTATAGTATAATTCTTTTTAATTTATCTCAGTTTGGGTCTCAATTTCTTCAGCTTTCCTTCTTAGTCATTTTGTTGTTAGTATGGGGTAGAATTTCCAATTGGGTTGCTTAATTGTGTGAATTTGGTTTATAAATGTATGATTCTTTGACCTGTTAACATGGCCTTATTTCCTAAGGCAATGGATTAAAATGACAAAATTAGCAATAAGACAAGGGAACGTGAGAATACCTCAGATAGGTGAGGGTATTTGCTAAAAACCTTATGTGAAAGTTATGTTAAATTCCCGGGGGAAATTGCATAACTTGAACCAAAAATGGGAATCTTAATATTCCCAAGCAAATATAACATTGGTTATCTTATATAACCTGAACCAAACTCCCCCTAAAAGTTCAATTATTTGTGATAGTATTCTGCTTTTGCAATGTTGATTTATTGGGTTCTTTTCCATCTTTCTATGTGGTCAATTTGAATGTATTTCTAGTGCAAACACATAGTACTAGTTCTTCATCTGAAGTTATGTGTGTGCTTGTGAAGGAGGTATATGATATTTTCAGCATTTTGAAACTATAAGAAGGTAGCACTGGCAATGATTAGTTATCCATTCCTTCAACTTTCAATAGGAAGTTGAATATTTGGGCTTACTTTGTGATTTTTTCTTCTTTCTTTTCTGTCTTGTTCTGGCTTTGCTTCCTAGATTAAAATGATGACTGACACCTCAGCAGTTTGCATTTGGATCGGATTTAATGAAATGTGTGTTGATTGTATCTGCATTTCTGTAACTTCATGTCTCCTGCACATGATTCTGTTCTGCTTCTTGCATTTGGCCTTGCAAGGGAATTTACAGGTCCTTCAGCAACCTTTCCATCTCTTCTTTGAAGCGTTAAGCTAGTTTAGTTGGTGTGTGATAGATTGACTACATGCATTATTAAGTAAAATAAATTGAATTTTATTTGAATCACTCTTGCACGCTATATGCATTACTTGCAGACAGTATGGTCAAAAAAAGAAATACTAAGTATATACAATATTTGTTTTACTTACATACACTATTTGTCTTACTTTGAAATGCTTTTACCTCCTAATATTCACCCCCTAACGTGGCAATAAAAATCGTTATATTTATTGGGTACCATGAATTGACTAACCTCATACCATATTAAAAAAGGGGATATATTTATTAACCAAATACCAAAAACAAAAAAAAAAAAAAAAACCAAAAAAACCAATCAAGTATTGCCATGTAAGGAGGTGAATGCAAAGATCTGAACATAGGAGAAAAATGTAGCATGGCTATATATAATAATATATTACTGTTTGTTTAACCCGCCAAGTCCGCAAGTTAGGGCAGGGACAATTTGGCATTTCTAGACCCGCCCAAATACTCTCTATATTACTCCCGACTCCTTACAGTAATACTACTTTTAATTAATACTATTCTAACTTTCACGCACCAATGGCAAAAAATTTAATCATAATTTTTTTTCCTACTCTCTATATTACTCCTGACTCCTTACAGTAATATTTGAGCTTTTTTCCCTTTGTCTCTTCCCATAAGCCTGTTAAGGATGGGGAAATTAATGAGTACGGAGTGAGTACATATCCTATTTGTCTGACTCTCAGTCTGAAACTTGCCTGGTTAATCATCCATCTAAAGGCATCACTTGAGCTCAATTTTGGGGTTTACTTTTCAGGGTTTTGCTGGTTTCAAACATTTTCTTGCCATGGGATATGTGGAAACAACAAAAGAAGAGTCTTTGGCTAGAAAGGATGCATTGCTGTCTGAACTACAACCCAGTTCATTCTCAATGGCATACCATACTCCTTTCTTAAGTTAATTTTTTCCCTTTATTGGAAAATGTTGTGTTTAACTTTTTTACCACTGTTTCACTGTTTGTTTTCTGAGTGGACTTTTTTTTTTTTTTTTTTTTTTTTTTTGACATTTCTTATTAGGTATATACAGAATCTGCATTTTTTTATTGCGTGGTTTTCCCAGTTTCAAAACTCTTTTTTCTTGTTCAATTGTGATTTCTTTTCAAGAATGTATTAGTTGTGTATACCCATATTTTGGATTTTCTGTCTCTATATAGCTACCAGCAACTAGATTTTAGTTAACACTTGGGTTTCTTTTGGTATACTTGAATTGCTGCATATGGGAATAGAATGAACCATAGAAAGGAACAAAGAGGGAAATTAATATTATTTATTCAAAATTAATTTGATCCCGAAGACAATATCTTTTGGTTCTTGTTCTCCCTGTAACCACTATTCTGAAGTAATGAACATTCCTAAAGGAATGATGATTTGGATGGAATGAACATAAGAAATGCAGAAAAGGAATTTGTGGCTGTAGTACTAATTCAGTTACTTGGTCCCTATGTAGCAAATGTAGCCTTAATTCAGTGAAATTTGTTGTCTCCACCAATATCATTATTTTAGTATTTTATTTTTGATGAACTAGGCTGGAAAGTTTTCAAAGGAGAGTTCCAAGTTTTTTTGCTTCTTGTTGTTCAATGCATCTATATTGAATCCAAGGAAGCTCAATTCATGTAATTTATGAGATATTATGTTGGCAAAGTATCTATATCATGTCTTATTTGGCGGAAAAGTGTTCTCAACAAACATAAACGATAAGTAAATGTGCAATTTGAGTGATATTTATAAATTGCCTGCTTGCCAACTTGCGTGTACGGAAAATCTGTGGGTTGAGCCAATACTTCACCTACAGCGAGCTGGGTGGTGCTTTGCCACGTAATATTTATATATTGCCTCTGTGTCAGCTTGGTATTTATAAATTGCATGCGTGTCAACTTGTAATGGATATATGATGCTACGTGTTGACTTCACAGAAAGAAGGTTTCGGTGATAGTTGCTTTAAATTGCCAGATAACGAGGGGCTGACTACTAAGTTCATTGATGTGTTTGAATGCGTTTTTGGGTGAAACAGTCATGAGGGGTCATCTCTGAGTCTGTATCTACAAAAGCGCAAAACGTGATTGTAGAGATACCAGAAGGAATAATGGAGCAATCAGCAAAGATTCTGTTAGGAGAAACATACCCTTCTCACCGACTCCAATAGGGGTGATATCTAGAGGTAAATCATCTATTTTGCAAAACACAATGTCAGAGATTGAAGAGGTTGCAATTTCGAGGACACTAACTCCTACAGAAGTTTTCAATCCAAGGATTAAAAGAACATTGTCGCAGCCAGAAATTCCAATTGCACTCCCAAATCCTCGTTCATCACATGGAAGTTCTAATTCATCTGTAAGTGCCTAAAATTTATTACAACTTTAATTGTACTAAGATGAATTTAGTATCATACTGTTTTCTCAGTTAATATGGTAAATCATTGTTGACATATACCATGGTGGACAATAATTCATTCATATTAATTCTATCTTAAACAATTTGTTGAATACACATCTTTTTCCAGTTATACAAAACCAAAGTATGCAATACATTTGCATTTCACTTCTTTCTTCTTTTAAGTCTTATTTGGCTTTAATTAGTTCCTAAATGTATCGAGTCTATGAAAATATGTCTATCGAATTGAGTCCTGTTCATGAGAGAATTTTTGGTCCTATGAACAAAAGAGTCTTGGCCATAAGAAACCAAAGTTTTTGGTGAAATTTCTTCTTTCCATAGAGCTAAAGCCTTTGCTTGTTAGCCAATTATTATTCTTCCGTTGAATTTTGTTCTTTGCGGTTTAAGCTAATTTCTAACTTATGTTTTCTTTGTTTCCGCATTTATTATTCTGTAGACAAAGGGGATTGAACACCCACTACATCGATCACATTCAGTACCTAATTTAATGGAGGCTGAAAGCACCATACACATGGTAGGGGGACTAAATTCTGTAATTCGCTCTACTACTCAAATCACAGTTGGTGCTCTAGCAACATCAGTCGCTGCTCCATCTTTTGGTAAAGGTAATATTCTAGGCAGTAGCATGAGTCAGAGACTCACAGTTTTCTTAGCAGACAGTCTGATCAAAGGCGGGGTTCACTACTATTTTAAATTCTGGTCACAAAATATACAAATGATATTTTTCCCTGATAATTTGAGTTTGCTTTCTTATGTAATAATAATGAAGTAACTGATATTACTAAAACTCAAGTGAATTTACGTTCAGACTATCCTCTTAGAGCTGCTAATAGTAGGGAATTTACTCCCACTAGAATTGAATGGAGAACCGTAATTAAATCGGTGATGCTAGGGTGTTTTTTTACTTTGCATTTACAGATTCATTTTGGACTCCCACTTCGCCTGCTCTGACCTGTAATAACATGCATACAATCTTTTTGTCTTTTCATTCAGATGTGAGTGATAATTTGGGCAAAGATGTTACAGAAGATGCTGTTTGCAGAATATGTTTGGTTGAACTTGGGGAGGGATCAGCCATTGTTAAGATGGAATGCAGTTGCAAAGGTGAACTTGCACTGGCCCACCGAGAGTGTGCTGTAAAATGGTTTACGTTGAAAGGCAACAGGACCTGTGACATCTGTAGAAATGAGGTTCAGAACATACATATTAAATATAATTATCGGAATGCAGTGATAAATGTTCTTGAACAAACTGGACTTGCTCTACACAGGTATGTAAATGATACTCTGTCTCTCTGATAAAGGCCAAGAAAAAAAAAAATCTTGTTCACCTTTCTTTGTTATTTTTATAATTTTTAAAATCAATTCTCTATCAAGCTCGTTTTAGCTGAATTTTGACAACTCTCTTGAGAGCTTAGCATAACCTTTTTCTAGGTATTGGATCACTGTTCCTGTGGATGTCATTTGCAGCGTGACTGCCTACTTTTTATTCGTGTTGGAACTTTTGGTAAATAAAAGGACTGGTGTATTTTAATTCCCGCAATGTTTAAGCTTGACAGTTTGCAAGTTTCCTGATTTGGACTTGTGTGCAGTCCACGAAGGGAGATCGTGATCCTCCACTTGCTGCTCCAGCTTCAATCGTATTGGGTCTCATTGCACACGTGATATCGTTTAGGATGGGTATCCAAATTTACTTTCCTGTATTCATTCGCTTGTGGCAACTTCAGTTTCTCATAGTTTGCCTTACAGTATAAACCGTTATAATTCTGATAGTGTGTTCAGCGAGAAAACAAGCTTGGGTTTATGGATTGGTTCAGTTTGGATTCGTGGTTCTATTTGGACATGTCCTCTACTTGGTGGTATGTTACGTTTTCTTCTCTTTTTGCTTTAAATCCTGAGACTAGATGAAACAAATTGTGAGATGGAGCATCAACTAGGCACTTACACACTAAAGCACATTTATTTATACGCCAAAGTTGATAACGATATTACATCCTTTGAACTAATACGGTTAGGTTAAGATGAAGAAATGTAATGGTTTCGCTTTTCTGGGTTACAGCTTAATGTTGGTGAATATACATCTGTTCTTGTTGCTGTATTGATTGGGTTTAGCCTTACAATGGTCGGTCATATGATCGTGCGACAGATGGCTAGCTCAAATCAGCTGCAAACTCCTTCTCAGGTGGCTATGCATCCAAACCCATCTTCAGAAACCATTCCTGCATCCCAGATTCATCTGCAACAAACTGATCTTGAAAGCGGAAATCTCAGAGTTGATAAGAGCTCCAACTGAGAGTCAGAGTCCTCTCATTTCTTTACTTTGTGCATGTTTTTATTGTTAAACAATGGCTGGCTTAGAACATGTTTCTATAGCTGTTTCCCTGTTTTGGTGAATTGCAGTGAATGTAACTATGCACCTATCATCAGATCATTCATTCTAAATGTTGTTTTTACCTTCGCATAATTTGTTTGTTTCAGATTTAGTTTGAACATTTTAAGACGAAACTAACATTTTGTCAGCTTGTTTCATATTTTAATTTGACGAAAAAATTAACATCTTCATCGATTCGGTGAGAACTGTATAAAACTGTATTGAATGAACAGTAATTACAATTGTACAGACGGAGGGAATATATACAAGAGGAATCATAGGGATATTAGTAACCTGTAGCTTGCCTCTAAAAAAAAAGAAAATCTAGGACTAGACAAATCTTTTGTAAATAGGGCTAGGCAAAGCTTTTGTAAATATGTATGTAAGTTGATCTTTTGTTGAGATGAAATTGACTTGAATAATCTCCAGCAGCAACTCTATCTCGAACAAAGTTATAATCTATCTCAACGTGCTTGGTACGAGCACGGAAGATGGAATTTGCACACATATAAGTAGCACCAAGATTATCGAACAAAGTTATAATCTATCTCAACGTGCTTGGTACGAGCACGGAAGATGGAATTTGCACACATATAAGTAGCACCAAGATTATCATACCATAGTTTAGGGACAGTGATACCTGGAACTCTGATCTCACGCCCTGGAACTCTGATCTCACGCAGTAGTGAAACGATCCAAATTACCTCAGCACAAACATCTGCTAGAGCTTTATATTCAGCATCATTAGAAGATCTAGCCGCATATTTTTTTGTTTCTTGCAGACCCAGGACACAAGATTAGAGGTTTAGAGCCAAGAAACACAGCAAAGCCACTTGTAGATTTTCGGTCCTCAGGACAGCCAGTTCAGTCAGAACCAGAGAAGACATGAATTTCCCTTAAAGATGATTGTCTGACTCGTAAACCAAAGGTAATCATTCCTTTAATATACCTCAAAACTCTTTTTAATTGCTCCCAGTGTGAAACTATAGGAGCATGCATGTGTTGACACAACTGATTGATTGCGACGGAAAGATCAGGACGAGTGATAGTTAGATACTGTAATGCACCAGCCAAACTCTTGACGAGTAAATAAGTTTTTATTCAAAGTTGCATTTAAGAAGTACAATAGAGTCTAACCTTTCATTGGTAATACTTCTTCAAGTAAATCACATTCCATGTTCAGTCGACGAGTTTCCCCTCTAGGGTTTCCAGCTTATAGGTGCCGGTTTGAACAATGGTCGCTATCCGATAAGGCCCTTCCCATTTGACTGCGAACACTCCCCCTTCAGTGGGTCGACTAGCCTATCTGTCTCGTAAAACGAGGTCTCCCACTTGGAATGCCCGAGGTCGGATGTGTTTGTCGCGGTACCATTTAACGACTTGCTGATATTCCACCAAGCGAGCGTGCGCCGCCTCTCTTCGCTCTTCTAAGAAATTCTTTTCGATCCTCAGGCTTTCTTCATTTTCTTCATCGGTGTAATGGCTGACCCTGTGGGTGGGATTAACGACCTCTACTAGAACTTTTGCTTCGAAGCCATGAGCCAGCGAGAATGGACTCTCTCCCGTGGCCCGTCTCTGAGTGGTCCGATAGGCTCATAATACTCGGTCTAACTCGTCTACCCAGTTTCTTCCTACGTCCACGAGTTTCTTGCGGATGCCATCCACGATGGTGCGATTTACGTTCTCGACCTGCCCGTTGGCCTGGGGGTAGGCGACCGACACTTTGGTGTACCAGATGTTATGTCGCTGACAGAACTCAGCAAAAGCTTGACAATCAAACTATCGGCCATTGTCGCTGACCAGATGCTCAGGTAGGCCAAAGCGACAAATGACCTTTTTCCATAAAAAAACGCCGACATTGATACTCGGTAATGGTTACCAATGACTCGTGTAACACCCCTAAAACTTAAAACTTTGAACGCTTATGAAGTAAAGGCAATACTATCATTAAAACCCGAAACAGAGCATAACTAAACATAGGTGTTGGGGTGCTATGCCACATCTGAGCTGGAGAACTCAGATGCACAGGCTAAACTATCAAAGCATTAGAAATCCTCAAATCAATGTCAATGTGACACCCCAAAAATCCAAATTCAATTAACGGATTAATTGAGTAATTAATCCTATTTCAATTGGGGAATTAATTCCTAAAATCCTGAAATTTAATACTTGAGGACTAGTATTTGACTAGTCAATTCCAAAGTCAAAGTTGTACCTTGAGCTTTGAAGGGAGTTCCCTTGTTCCTTACATTTTCTAATGTTAGTAAGAGCACTCTTGACCTTTCACAAGTGTTAGTATTGTAACCTAACCTAGTAGACATATTCATTCCATCCCTTACACTTTCTAAAATATTAGCTCTACCTTCTCTCTAAAAAGGTGAGTAGCTTTTCCTCCAAGCCAAGTTGAGACCTTGCCAAGACTTCAAGATTTGCTTCCAAGATTCAACCTTTCAACTATTTGGGCATCTAGGAGGGTAAGATCTAAGTCCATCTTGTGTTTTTGGTTTCATCTTAGGTGTATTTTCTTAAAGGTAGGATCTTTATGATCTTTTGGTTTGATCTTGAAGTGGGTTTGGAAAGTGAGCCTTGTGAGGAGCTTGTTGAGGTGTAAAGTGAAGTCTTTTAGTCTACAAGAGGTAACCCATGCTCTACAAAATCTATTTTACTTACCTATATGTGATTTCTTGGATTCTACATGTGATTTTGCTATGAAATGTGAGTGTTTATGCATTGTCTTGTGAAAATGCATATCTAGAGCTTGTGTTTAGGGTTCATTTGTGCCATTGCTTGGAATTTCCTATGATTCAAGTCATTTTGTTGTATTTGGTGAGATTTGGCATGTTTTGGACTTGAATTTGAGTTTGGAGTTGGAAATCCCCGAAGGGATTGTTTTGGTACAGGACGTGTACCCACGGGCGTAACGGTGGGCGGGGCACCACCCGTCGCCCCACTCACAGGTACAAGGCCTCGTGGGAGATGTTCCCGCGGGCGGAACCACGGGTGGGGCACCACCCGTGGGTCCACCCGCGGGGAACACTTTGGTGTTGTGATGGGATTTCTTCCCCATGATTCTTTTGACTTGGTATTTGGTCTTTTGACTTCTCGATGTTCTTTTGTGGAACTATTTGAGTGTCTTCTTGATGTTTCGTATGTCTAGAACTATGTGGTAGGTATCCATGTAGGTCTTTGGTGTCTTGAATCGTGCTAAGTGTTCAACATTGTGTTTCGTTGGACCGTGATGAGTCTTGTGTGTTCCTCGGAACTACCTTTGGTTTATCCGTTTGATAAGCATGCTAGTTTGGTGTTTAAATGCTAGCGTGTGAGTTGTTTGTACTTTCCGATTGGTTGATGATAACTTGTGTTATTCATCGTTGTTGTTGTTGGGCTGTGATCCATTCCTTGATTGAGTATGTTTCATACCTTCGTTGTGATCCATTGATTGATTCCTGTTGAGGTGTGATGTGTGTGTGGCTTTACCTGCATTGCACGACTAGTGGTATGGGACACTAGTCACCAAGGTATTGCAACGGTCCTCGTGGTGGCCATGACGTGATTATGGAGTTGTGACCTTTGTGTAAGGTTCACGTGATTCTTGGGTGGCATGTGTTGCCGTGTGTGTGATCGGTACCCTCGTGTACTATGAAATCGGTGGTTTTGTTAGAGATCTGTTGGAGAGGGGACGAAGGTCCTCGGAGGAATAAGGTTGGACTTGGTGTACAGGGGTCTTGGAGGTAAAGGTTGGAACTAGATATAAGGTTGGGGTAGCCATAAGGTTGGAACAGGGCATAAGGAAGGCATATCAACTCGTGATGTGTGATGTCACGAGGGCTTGTGTAGCCGTGGTTGTGTGTTCTCTTCTTGTGACGTGTGTATTCACAAAGGCATGTGTTGCCAATTGTCGTGTCTTTATTCTTGAGTTGTTGTCCTTTGTGGTCTTGGGATGTGTTCCCGTGTATCTTTGAGAGTGTTGAGTCTTGTGTTGGTGTTCACTCTTGGTTTTACACTTATATATATGTATTTCGTTTCAAGATGATTTTATATATAATCATATCTATGTATGATACTTAACATGTATTGGTGGGTTACCAGCATTATTCGCTGACCGGGCGTCGTCCTATGTTTATTTGTGTTCTTTCAGGTGATGTCTAGACGAGCGCGATGTCTAGTGCCGATAGTGTAGCTCCTTTCGTTTGTCTTACGGCCTGTGAGCCGATTTAGTTATAGACTTATGAGTTTTGGGATAGTTGTGAACCATGCAGATTTTGCCGTAGCGTTTATCGTGTTGGTAAACGTAGTGTGACACCCCATGACTGAGATTTACTTTTATCCAGTTATCCTTTGATCTTCCGCTGTGCTAGTGTTTAGTTGTGTTATTTGCATCTGTTAAGGCTTTTTATATAGCATGTTTTGGGGGGTGTTACAGTTGGTATCAGAGCCTAGGTTTGAACCTAGGAAGAGGTAAGTCTAGACTTTCTAAGTGGTTAAGTGTGGTTTGAGACCCTTAAGCGACCTTAAGAAGCTAAGTGTTAGGCTTAGGACTTTAGGACGCGCGGTGAGGTTGAGAGTTCTTGTGTTGTTTTCTGTTGTGTTATCTGTGCTTTGTTTCCTTTTAGCTTTGGTTCTCTTTAGTTAAGGCACCAGGTAAGGGTGCGGGTCTTTAGTTTCCTCCCGTTATCGTGATATTGCTGTAGAAGTCGAGGATGGCACCATCGAGACGTCGTGCAATGTCTTCAGAAACGGCCACCAACGACCAGTTAGTTCAAAGCCTGCAACAGCTGACACAGATCACCCAGTCGCTGAGCAACGCCCTCCTCAACAACCACCCTCTTCAGAATGGAAATCGTGACATAGTACGCCAAGTCGCAAGTCTCCGTCCCCCGACCTTTGCCGGTGAAGAAGATCCCGCAGTGTTGGATGAGTGGATCCGGATGTTGACAAGATCTTCTAAGTGGTGGTTTGCCCAGAGGATCACAAGGTGAAGTTGGCTACGTTTTACCTTCGGCAAGAAGCGGACTCGTGGTGGGTGCTTGAAGGGCCAGCTTGTAGACAAGATTCAGAGTTCAGTTGAGAAGACCTGAAGGTTAAGTTACGCGAG